GCCCCATGCAGCCTGCTTATTCAGTCATTTGGTCGTCCCTCACTAACCCCCCTGCCAGCCTGGTCGCCCCATGCAGCCTGCTTATTCAGTCATTTGGTCGTCCCTCACTAACCCCCCTGCCAGCCTGGTTGTATGCAGCCATCTTGTGAGGGCGTGAGGGTTAATTTGCATATTACCTCTTTATTATATAGGATTCTAGAAAAGACAAAACTATAGGGGCATTCATTAATTAATGGTTGCCAGGCGAGCACCACAAGAACTTTTTGGTGTGATGGAAAAGTTTTGTATCTTTTTGTTATTGTTGTTATTCCTCACCCGTGGATATTTTTTCCATTGCTTGCTTTTCAGAGAGTGGAAGGAAGGTAGGAAGGGGAGAAGAGGAGGGGGGAGAGGGAGATGGAGAGAGAGGAAGGGGGGGAGAGAGAGAGAGAGAGAGAGGTGTCAAAGAGACACATTAACTGGTTGCCTACCACAGGTCCCAGGACCAGGGGCAGGGAGAAAACTCGCAACCCAGGAATCAAACCCGAGACCTTTCAGTGCATGGGCGGAAGCTCTAACCACTGAAAAACAGCACCGGCCAGGATGAAAAGTTTTATCTTTATTATGGTGATGATTATCCAATTCTATACATTTGTCAAAACTTTTATTACAGGTAAATTATACTGCAGTAAACCTGAGACTACAAAACAATTAGAGAAGTCATTTACCTCACTTCTTTTCTGGAAAATAAATGTTCCATACATACACAGGAGGGACTGGGATTTGTCAGTAGAAATATCAGGAAGGCAGATTTTAATTCACATTAACAGAAAAAAATTAAAAATGTCAAAAAAAAAAGAAGTGAGCTTGTAATCACAGAAAGTATGAAAACCAGAGCCTGAATGATCCTGCCAAGGATGCTGTAGAAATGGCCCTAGTTTGGGTATGATTTCAGACTAGTATGACCAACAGAGGTTTAATCCCTAAGGCCTCTTTCTACTCGGAGTCAACAGTTCCAAAATTCCATGATATTGAGTGCTTGATCATCTCAGATCCACTTTTTAATTTTAACAAAACATCTATTACTCATGTTAACATCAAGCAAATGCTATCATTAACTCAAAACTTAGTGTAGCCTTCCTTGTTATTAGGAGTACTGGCTTTGACTTTAGACAGTATGGGTTTAAATGTTGGCCCACCAGTGTCTGTGTGACTTTGAACAAGCATCTCTACAGATCTATTTCCTCATTATGAAAGTAGGATTAACATTTTCCTAAGGTTTCAATAAGAATGCATGAAAAACAATTCCCATGTGCCAAACTGTCAATAACAAACATTTCTTAGATACTAGAAGCCCGGTGCACGAAATTCGTGCAAGGGGCTTAGCCCGCGCAGCCCCGGCTTCATCTGGAAGGTGGTTTGGCTATCAGGTCTAATTAGCATATTACGCTTTTATTATTATAGACTAGTGCCCTGGTGCACGGATTCGTGCACATTGAAAGGAAATTAATTAGAAGGTGACCGGCAGGACTGGGCAAGACGGGCCAGACACACCCTAGAGCCAACCTCCCGCAGTCCCTCCCCTGCCAGTTGCATCTGGGGTGGTGCTGTGGCTCAAAAGGCTCTGTGGAATGAGCAGGGGTCCCTCCAGCAGGTGGGGTCCCTCAGCCTGGCCTGAGGGGATCGGGCCAAAATGGCTCTACAACATCCCCTGAGGGGTCCTGGATTGCAAGAGAATGCTTCTCAGGTGACGCACCACGGAATTGGACTCCTTCCTCTCTGGTTCTGGGTACGTCACCCGATAACTGCAGCTGCCAAGTCACCACAGCTTGGCAGCTCCTGCGTTGAGCATCTGCCCCCTGGTGGTCAGTGTGAGTCATACCTACCAGCCGGTCGGACGGTCGCTTAGCTTTTTATATAGATAGATAGCTGAAAAGATACAAATTCTCACATCTAATCCCCTCTAAGAATCTTAACATTCCAAATATGAGAGATTAGTTCTTTAACTCTATATCCAGTAGTTCGTAATCTTTTGTGGAGACAGATCTTTTTGAGAATGTGATGACTCCAAGGATTTTTTACCCCCCAAAAAATGCATATACAGGCATACCTCGGTTTTTTTACACTTCACTTTATTGCACTTCACAGATGTTTTTTGTTTTGTTTTGTTTTGTTTTTTTTACAAATTAAAGGCAAGACTCTCTCCATCAGCAAAAAGATTGTGACTAGCTTTGATGCTGTGGTCTGGAACCGAAACTGCAAAACCTCTGAGAGATGCCTGTATGTGCTATATTCTGTCTATTATATGAGTATTCAAGAACCTTCTGAAGCACTTGCATAAAATTAAGAATGCCTGCTGCACACTCGTAAAATTGCAAAGTTGAGCAGTGTAATTTAAGAATCTTCAAAGTCGAGAATCCAGCTAATATTGAAATGTACAGTGTCATTTACTTTTTTAAAAAAGAGATATACAAGACCAGCCAGAACATCATGTTTTCTAATTCATATCTCCTTCAGAAAGCTCAAATTTAGAAACAACTTTTTTACATGAATCAACTTCAACTCGGAAAAACTAGTAGAACTGTATTTTTAGCTGCTTGAGAATGAATGGTTTAGAGTGTAAGTGCAATCCTGATGCTCAAAAGACGTACAAAGAGTTCTCAAGTCAGTCTAATGCAGTATGTGTTTTTAAATGTAAAAACCATACCAAGCTAATTCCTCTCTTAGAGTCCCATGATAAAGTTTTATTTTTCTTTTTCAGCTGGACTTATTTTTTCCTATACCTATGCACTAGTACATCTAGTTCTTTCATTAATCAATACATTTTTGGTTCTGTTTGATGCTTATTTGTGATGAAGCCTGATGGTGAAAACTAATTGTCCTCAACCTCCTATCAAATAATTCCAACCCTGGAGGTATGCCACTATCTCAGAGCAAAAGGTCTTGTTTTTCTTTTTTAATTCGGTTTTCAGACGATAATATCCAGTTGGCACGAACCAACCCGTGCTCATTACTGAACCAAAAAAACCAAACACATACTTTTTCCTATGCACTAGCACCATTTTCCCACAGGAAACAACCATTTTTAAAGCACTGGAAGTCGAGGCAGGGGTTCACAGAGAGAGTAAACATCCTTTCAATCGGGTTTTATCAGATTATATGTCAATGAAGGGGAGGCCTAATACTGCAGATCTCAGGATCCAAGGGTGAAAATCACCCAAACCCTGCACCTGAGGCGCAAACACTAGGCAGGTGGGCCGAGTGGCTTTCGGTCGGAGAGGTCACATCTGCGGGCCAAACCCCACGGTAACCGGGAGCGTTTGCGATGCCAGCTCATCCTCGCACAGAAGGAAAAGGGCAGACACCGGCGCAGGGGCACCCGGTTCCCTCCCACGGACCAGGGCCCCTGAAAATCACCCAAACCCTGCACCTGAGGCGCAAACACTAGGCAGGTGGGCCGAGTGGCTTTCGGTCGGAGAGGTCACATCTGCGGGCCAAACCCCACGGTAACCGGGAGCGTTTGCGATGCCAGCTCATCCTCGCACAGAAGGAAAAGGGCAGACACCGGCGCAGGGGCACCCGGTTCCCTCCCACGGACCAGGGCCCCCGTCGCAGGGGTGTGTGTGTTGTGTGTGTG